ATCATTTCGATGTTACATCAACTGGGTGACTTTGGATGTTAGAACATCATTTCGTACATTGTTTTATGTTTTAACTAAATACATGTTCCATGTTATAATGGATGTTCTATGGATTAATGGATGTTCTATGGATATTGATCAATGATTGAATCTTCGAGATGCACATTATGCAGGTCTGTATGTGCTTGAAAACTGTTATACATGTCTGTTTGTGCATCAAAACTGGTATGCAGGTCTGTATATGTTATTGATTTCATAACAAATAGAATTTTCCCGCACATTTCCATCCAACTTACCGAAGGCTTTTGCCCTTCGGTAAATAACCACGTTAGGTTATTACCGAAGGCTTTTGCCCTTCGAAAATTACCGAAGGCTTATGGCCCTCGGTAATTACCGAAGGCTTATGGCCCTCGGTAATTACCGAAGGGCAAAAGCCCTCGGTAATTGTTAGCGACAAGGGATTTACCGAGGGCTCGTTGGCCGTCGATAAGCCGTCTGTAAATACTATTTTCCGAGGGCTTCTGGCATTTTCCGAGGGTTTTTGGCCTTCAGTAATTCCCTACTTTTTTGTAGTGGATCAATACGAAAAGAATATTCAATCCATGGGAAAGGAACGAAAATCACACACTTTGCCTCAACTCTGTTAAAGCAATTGGATGTACAATAGTTAACATTGGCACTCAGTACTTCATTGAAGGAAGGGTATCTTGGTATTCCTTTTAGGTTTCACCCTTAAAAGCATAATTATTGGTGTTGTGTACAATGTAGAAACACAAAATTTATGTTTAGATTTTATTAACAAATGAATTTTATATAGGATTTTTTTATTTTGGAACCAGTTTCTTCCTTTAGAAAGTTATAAAAATATTGGCGAAATATGAGCAGAATTATTAGATTTTCTTGAATCAAAGAACTTAGAAACTTTTTTAAGAAACTTTGCATTAAGCTTTGCATCAAACTGCACTATAGTTAACTGAAAAATAGTTCACTAAACTGCACTAAAATATAAGTGAACTAAAAAATAGTTCAGTGTCGCTTAGTTAACTATTTACTTAGTTCAGTTCAATTCTCTTGAATTATTTTATAGTTAACTATAAAGTGCAATATAGTGCACTTTGCCCACCCTAATTGCAGCACTACTTGTATTTACTTTTATCCAATTAGCCATAAAAGGACGTCATAGAACTTAATTATTGAAAGAAGATTTATCAGGTCGATTTTCAACGTCATAAATTTATGCATAGGATTTTTTAGAAAAATTTCTAACCGAAAATTATTATTTACCATTCAAATAGAAAGGTCAATCTATATAGGTTTTTGAATTCCACAACTGCACATGTGCCATATCATCAAAATAGAAAAAAATTATCAAAGCTAACCGCAACAATTTAACCAATAAACTGGCTGGACTTTGAATAAACTACACATGAACGAATCTCCAGCAAATACATAAAAAAAAAAAAAAAGTGCTTTGCAAGTAGGTTCAATTTTTCATAATCTAAGGAGCACTAAAAAATAAAGCATCAATGTTTTTGCATGAAACACAAGGTATATGTAGAACATAACGAAATGTATTTATGTTGGACTACATCATCCCTAGGAAGCATGTAAGCTTCCAAAGTACCAATGTTTTAAATGATAAAATATATCGTCCATAAGAAGCATGTAAGCTTCCAAAGTACCAATGTTTTAAATGATAAAATAGAAAAATACGGTATAAAATTGCGCCAATCACAATCTCTATCATAATAAGAGGTTTCAATTTTATATTATGCAATTCAATTTCTTTTGTGATTAAATTCAGTTCAATATCAATTTATTCAGTTATAACACTCCTTTAAGTTGATAGTTTAGATTTAAATTTGATGTTAAGGTGCTTGATAGTATTGACAAGTGTTGTGTATAAGATTATTTGTTCTATATGCTCCCAAAATTGATAAAAGGGAGAAGAAAGTAGAAGCCATCGACGTGATGATATTGAGTATAGTAATGGCATTAGTTTGAAATTGAATAACGAAATTATTCAGCAGCAAAGGTGAAGTTCTGGGTTGTTATTTTTCGGTAATAGTTTGGGCAAAGGAACCAAAAGTGTATGGTGAAACTTGCACATCGCAATAGCGTGGCTACTTGGTCTGGGTTATTCTTCTTCTTGTGTATTGTGTGGATGATGACACAGCTTTTATTAGCCCTCTAAATGATGGTGGGTCCATGTGCAATTTGCAAGCGACAAGGCAGGCCTACCAAGTAGATAATCGCTGGACTCGTCCCATGTGATATATACGAACACTGTCCATTGTCTTACTCTTCCAAAGAAGAAAAACGTTGTCCAATGTCTTATCTGACAGTGATCTTAGTCTCGCCAATGTCGCCTTTTCTCCCTCCATTCATTAATGCTTTGTATCTTCATGATTAATTAATCAAATCTTCTGTACAGGCAATCTAACTTGAGTGCAAGAAAACACCCACAACAAACAAAACCACCATTATTATCTGTGACTGACTAAGCAATCAATAACTAAATGAAACTTGGCATCGCCTTCATCACCCTAGAAACTGAATGATTGACACTAGCCCCCGAATTTATTAGTTAATTAACTACTTCTACAGGGGAGAGAAACGCATATTTAATGTTTTTCTTGTTACTTTATCATGGGCTGGAATTATTAGCAGGAAAATACATACCCCGGTTTCAACTATGTGTGTGATATTAATGATTTGAATGATTACTTACAATTAATTAATTAAATAACTAATTACAATTTCCACAAGGGCCCCTTACCGTAGAGATTTATTGACAAAGGACACATATATAAAGAGTCATTCAATTATTAATCAATAAAAGAGGGAGAAATTGTTGATTAGGAAGGCCAAAATGTTGGAAACTGATAGCATACCTCTAATGTTTCACTAAATCTTTTGACATTGTAAATTAAGGGATTGACAAGGTGAGGTACGATGCCTCATATTGGCAGGGTAAACAGGTTGCAGGCCTGACATATGGCCCCGCATCAATGTTCAGGCTTGAAGGTGTTATCTTGTCTGCACATTCTGCCACACAGAGCCAATGGCCCAACTCCAAATTTTTCACATATTTTTCTCCTAAACCGTAGCAAGCCATCGTCATGAATCATGAATGTCATTTTCTTCTGGTGGTCTGGATGTATGTCATATTTTCAACTGGTTATCAGTTCTTGAACGTAACTTCAAATTTCCATCAACTAGTTCACATGTAAATTTCAGAAACCAAAAAAAGAATCTTCATCATCTATCATTTCTCTGTAGTAATACTATTACTCTAGAACATCAGCATATAGATACTACTAAACTCTGCATGCACATTTATGTGAAAAGAATCTTTAATTAGTTTGCTTATACTTAATTGAATCCGTAGACAGAGACAAGAGTCCTATATGGGAGTTTCTCGCATGTGACAGAACACCGGTTGAAAAGATAAAACCCCTAACTTTTGTTCCAGATTTAGGGACAAAAGCTATCACTAACCAATATGCATGGAACAGTTGGGGAACAATATTAATATATAGATGTATAGGAATCAGAAGAAGGGCATGAAATACACGTATGCAGTATACAGTTTGAGCTTCACATGTAGATGGTTGATTTCTGTTTTTCTCGTTTAAATATTTTCCCCAACAAAGCACATAGCCATCTATTTCAATCCAGACAGTGTTGATGTGACACCCTCGTAGACCATTAGCCTCATGTACAAATTACCATTGTTGTCTATGGATACGTACCTAATCATCTCAGTGGCATGTGTCAATCTTGCGTCTATAAATAAGAGTGGAACAAGCATAGGTAGAGCACATTCAGATAAAGAGTCAATTAAGAAATAATGGAGCACACAACAAGTCTAATAGTTTTCCTTAAGATGGCTGTTTCACAGAACAAGCGCATTCTATTAGTGGCTTTCGTCATCCTCTGCCTCTTCTCCACCCAAACAATAGGTACTTCTTTCGTCACAAACTGTCAGAACGTTGGATTCGAAATTAAATATTCCCATGTTTCAGTATCCTGTTATTTCTTTCAAGATTTTTTATTAATCTGTTCTTTTAATTTTTGTTTTTTTTTTTGTGTATGCAGCACGAACGTTGAAAGAAAAAACCAATATAACTAGTGGGGATGCCAGCAATGTTCAACATAGTAACGAATCGCATCCCGAGGTATTTAAGCCAAAAGATGAGGATGTTAACGTTGGTGGTGATGTGTTCTCAGTGGATTACACTCCAGCATCCAGAAAACCACCGATTCACAATTAAATACTTCGCAATTTTGGTAAAGTAGATAATGAAGAAAAATTGTACTAATATTCAAGAATAAGCTGTCTTTTTTTTTTTTTGTAAAAAGGTTATTATAGCTAGAAGATAAGGTAATTAATATAAGTATTATCATTTTTTGGCAACAGTGAAATTTTCGGTGTCAACTACGTGATTGAAATTATCTTCACTTTGTTCGATTTCTTCTGATGTTAAAGATCCTTAAAAAGTTAAAACTACAAAAAGGAAAGGTGATGTTTATGAAGAATTAAACTACACAGAATTATTTATTGCTAGGCATATGCATGTGTACAGTGTACTACACAGCCTATCTTTTATTTATTGTTCATAGGTCAATGGAAACAAATATTACATGTAATTTACGAAAAACATTATTTGCCAGTAATAGCTTTAGCTGAACACACCCATGACAAACTTCAACATTTTTGGATATGAATAAATTAAAACGTACTGTCTCCTCCAAGAAGTTTAAATGTGTTTTGATCGGGTTTGGTGTGACCCTACTAAAACACTTCTAATTGTATTAAAGACTGGGTACATGCTAGAGATCGGACAGACGAACACGGTTCAACGCGCTATAGGATGAAGATCTGACGGGCTTTGCTCTAAGTGGACTACCATTGGGAGCTGGACGAACGTTGAAGACCCCTTAAAACATTTTGAGATGGTTTCGAGACCGGACGGTTCTTGATGACTGGACAGACACGTTGAGGGGTAGACAGATTCATTGAAGGCCAGACGGTGATGGACAAATTTATGAACATCAAAATATGATGTCACAAACTTGTTTTTCAATCGGCAAGTATGACCGAATCGTTCAAGTAATAAACTTGGTAAGACCAAGTATCGTTCTTCCCAAAGGACTCACGGCCTAATTTAGTTGTGTGGTTTATTGATTAGCTAAGACTTAAAGACGAAATATTTGGATGCAGAAGACGAAAATTAAATATGTATGCATGAAGTTTTGATCAATGGCAAAAGCAAAAGATAAACACTTTCAATGAAATATATGTATGAATATGTTGTTGGGGTTCAATTTCATCTTATCCACTCTCATATATTTTAGGAATTCAACATTCAAATCATCAATGTTAATGCCACTCTCTAAAGTACCTTTCAAGAAGGCTTCTCCCTAATCACGAGTTCATACAATTCCTAGCATTCCTAAT